ATATATATATATATATATATATATATATATATATAAATATATATATATATATATATATATATAAACTCCAAAGCAACAAATATCTTAAATAACCTTAATGCTTAGTTGGTGGTTGTTTTGTGTACATTTTACGTATTGCATCAAATGGATTGTTAAGCTGAGTGCCCCATGACGAGATCCCGACGACCCAAAACTAGGGATCAATTACAAGAGGCGCTGAGGATGCATACGAACGTACCTCAGATTCCTTTCGTCGGATGTGTGTGTGTCTTTATGGATGGTTGTATGTGAATATGAGCGTGTTCATATATAGATAGATAGTGATTGATTGATATAGATAGACTGACAGATATAAACATGTATACATATATATATATATATATATATATATATACATATATATATATATATATATGCGTGTGTGTGTGTGTGTATGTGCGTGTGTGTGCGCGCGCGCTCGTGTACTGAAGTTCATTGAATAATTAGAAAGTCGAAATACGCGGAAGTAAGATTTTTTTTTTGTTTCCTTTTCGTAACAAAAGCGAGGATAATTTTTTTCCTTTTTCTTTTTTCTTTTTTTTTGCCTCTTTTCTTAAGTATGTTGCATGTAATTAAAAATCGCAAAGCATATTATAGAAACAATAAAGAATCGTTTTTGTTGTGTGTGTGTATATATATATATATATATATATATATATATATATATATGTATATACATATATATATATATATATATATATATATATATATATATGTATATATATATATATATATATATATATATATATATATATATATATGTATATATATATATATATATATATATATATATATATATATATACACATAATCATCTAACATTTTAGTAACTCCGGCAAGGGTTAACGTTTACATATTTTGAACTAACTGACAATTAGAGAGAAAAAACTGAAATAGAGCACAAAACCACAAAGAGAAACACATTAAAATGACAAAGGAAACAAGTACATAACCACAGCAAATAATAATAGTAATAATAATAAATGAATACAGCTCTCTACTCTCGGGAAATGAAATTCGAAAACTGAAAAAATGAAGACAGGTCGACGTCATATAAGATAAATTAATAAATAAACAAATCATAATAAAGTCATTCGAGGCAATTTCAGACACGAGATCGCTCGTAAAGATTGCTAATAAATCTTTCAGAGTAAATGCTTTCAAAGTCTATTTTACCGTGAAAGACGCAACAGAGGATGACTTTCTTTTTCTCTCTTATTTACTCTCTATCTTACTTTGATGGAGGATACGTGGGCGGAGCGAAAGGGCGTTGGATTTAGAAACGCACTTGAATTAGCGGATTAGAAAAGTGGCCATTAGAATCCGAAATGCATTTATCATATAAAAGTTCATTGAAATCAGAAAGAGATTTGCTTCGTACTGGGGAGTGTTAGAATTAGAAATGGATTAAATGGTATGATTATAAAGAAGGACATCGATTTTTTTTAAACAATACAAGAAATCATTAGATTTAGAAATACAATAAATAAATATATTTTAAATATATTTGAATATATAAGAAGGTATTAGAGTCTCAATCACACAGATACATGCAAATACATATATATATATATATATATATATATATATATATATATATATATACAGAGAGAGAGAGGGGGAGAGAGAGAGAGATACAGATAGATGGATAGACAGACAGAGATAAATGAAAATATATATACAAATATATATAAGTTGGGAGGGTTGTTATATATCTATATTAATGCGGCATTACATTATTCCATCCTTCACACACACAAATACACACATATAAATGTATATAAATGTGTTTGTGTGTGTCTGTGCCTACATATATATGCATATAATACATATATATGTAGGCCTATACAATATATACACATATCGATCTGTTTCTCTTTCTCTCTCTCTCTCTCTCTCTCTCTCTCTCTCTCTCTATATATATATATATATATATATATATATATATATATCAGTGTGTGTATGTATGTATATACATATATATGTATGTGTGTGCGTGTGCGTGTGTGTGTATGTGTATATGTGTGTGTGTGTATGTATATATATGTGTGTGTGTGTATGTATATATATGTGTGTGTTAATGAAAAACACACACGCAGGAGAATTTTCTGCCTGCGCTTAGGGAATCAATCTTGGCCAATTCATAAATAATGAATTATGATATTGCGAATGATATATAGAATATATGGAAAAATGAAAATGGGCCACCTGAAGGTAATCGGGGTTGTTCATGTCCTCGCCCTGGACGCAGTGGCCGGCGCAGATGGCCCAATTTTCGTTGTAGATGGAGGCACCGCAGAAGTGGAAGGCGAAGCCGAAGGAGACGTCCTGGAAGCTGAGCTGGTAGGGAAGCTCACCAGGAGTGACGTCAGTTCCTCCGACGATCTTGTTCAGACCGCGGCGGAAGGTAGGCTTCCTGGAGGGGGCGGCTGGGAAAGATGGAAGTGGTGCCGTTTCATTACTGATTCAACTTAATCGAATTTCCCCGCTCATTGCATTGCATCTATTTAGTTTACTCCCTTGGGAGAAGTGGCAAGCAAACATAGTTTGTACGCCAACTGTCTTGCAATTTCAAGATGATTACATTGTCTTTTTCTTTCTTTTCCATAACCAGAAGGCGACATTAGAAAACGTACGGATACCAGTGAATCATCTTTTCCCTTTATATACTTTTCTGTATATGCATGGTTTACAAATAGACCGTAGATAAAACTTCAAGTTGCATCATTATTGAATTATAGATAATTTCGCCTGAATATGTATTCCGATACTTTAGTATCCCCCAGCGACGTATCCATAAGACAGCGAATATTTCTGTTTACATGATTTAGTCCAGATATTTTAGACATGCATAATTATCTTCTCTCTCACTCTTACTCTTTCCCTCTCTCTTTTACTCTCTCTCTCTTTCTTTTCTCACTCTAACTCTTTCCCTCTCTCTTTTACTCTCTCTCTCTTTCTTTTCTCACTCTTACTCTTTCTCTTTATCTTACTCTCTCTCTCTCTTTCTCTTGCCACTGGGGAATTCTTTGAGATCCTTATCAGCGAATAATGAACTTTCACGCTATGCTCACGTGACATTTGCCTATTTCGATACATACAGATATGATTAAAAATAATGTACTTTATATTCACTTCATTATGTAAATTGCAGTAGCCAAGAAATAAGTATACGGTATATATATATATATATATATATATATATATATATATATATACATGTATATATATATATATATATATATATATATATATGCATGAATATATATAACTGTGTAAATATATATATATATATATATTAATGTATATATATATATATATATATATATATATATATATATATATATATTAATGTATATGTAAATATATATGTATATATATATGTACAAACACACACACACATATATATATTTGTGTGTGTGTGTGTGTGTGTATACATATATGTATATACACACACATGAATACATATATAAGTGTGTGTGTGTACATACATAGATATGTGTTTATATATCTATTTATCTCTATATATAGGTATATATGTGTATGTGTGTGCATGTGTGTATATATATATATATATATATATACATATATACATGTATATATATATATTTATATATATATAGCACAGACACACACACATACATATACACACACACATATGTATATATATATATATATATATGTTGTGTGTGCGTGTGTGTGTTGTAAGCATGTGTATGTGTGTACATATCTCTCTCTCTATATATATACATGTATATATGTGTGTGAATGCAGGAGGATTCCGGAACTGTTGTCTTATTTTCAATTATCTAATTTGTGCAATGTATTATTTTAACCATATATGTATATATGTACATATATATATATATATATATATATATATATATATATATATATGCATATATGTATATATGTATGTATGTATATGTAAATGTGTATGTGTATGTGTATGTATATATATATATATATATATATATATATATATATATATATATGGGTGTGTCTGTATGTGTGTGTGTGTGTGTGTGTGTGCATATATGTGTATATGTGTTTATATGTATATATATAGTTGTATATGTATATATAGAGTTATATATGTATATCTATATGCATATATACATATCAATATGTATATATATGTATAGATAGATAAACACACACACATATTCATATATATATATATATATATATATATATATATATATATATATGAATATATACATATACATATATGTGTGTGTGTGTGTGTTTGTGTGCATGTATGTATGTATATACATATGTATACATATATATGCATATATATATATGCATATGTATCTGTGTATATATATATTGCATATATATATATATATATATATATTTATGAATATATAAGCACATACATGTATATGTATGTGTATGTATATATATATGTATATATGAATATAAACATAAGTATGTATATGTATATATATAAATATGAATATATACATATATATATATATATATATATATATATATATATATGAGTTCGTGTGTGTGCTTGTACACATGTGTGTATATGTATATATGCTTATGTAGTCCCATCCGTATATCTATACACTAAATACTTTTATGCATATCTAAATTATTGTATATATGAGATTGCTCAAGGTTTAGGAAGGGAAATAGACAACAATGATGCTATGAACTGGTAGAAAGATAAGGTAGAGATTGATAAAAGCACAAATGGATAAACAGATAAGTAAAGTAACTCACACTAGTTAATAGGCAGATAAATATACGTCCATTTACAATCGACAGAGAGCAAGAGTGATGGATGCAAAGGGAGGTGAGCACATTGGTAGACAAACCGGTAGGTAAAATTCTAACAAGATGTAATTTCCCCCTCACTGATTAATACTTGGTGAAAAAAAAAGATAAGGTTCATCAGCGGGTCGGGAATCCCCTACTCTCACGACTTCGTGAGGAAACGGCCGGCCCGTGAGAAATAAGCAGGACGGAACAAGCGGGAAGCGCTGATAACCAGCCCCGGGTCGCTTCGTCGCCGCGCATAAAAGGCTCTCGGGTCCCTTCCTCGCCACCAGTGGCCAGCCATGAAGTCCCTCGTGCTCTGCCTGCTCCTCGCCGGGGCCTTCGGTGAGTCAGGCCTCTGAGAGTGTAGGACCCGCTAAGTGGGTCTCATTCAGGGTCCCTTTTTCAGTTTTCTTTCACTGAGTTTGGTCTTTAGTAGCAGAAAGCAAACAGATGCAATTCACTAAGCGCGGAAATTCGATTAAGTTGAATCAGTAATGAAACGGCACCACTTCCATCTTTCCCAGCCGCCCCCTCCAGGAAGCCCACCTTCCGCCGCGGTCTGAACAAGATCGTCGGAGGAACTGACGTCACTCCTGGTGAGCTTCCTTACCAGCTCAGTTTCCAGGACGTCTCCTTCGGTTTCGCCTTCCACTTCTGCGGTGCCTCCATCTACAACGAAAATTGGGCCATCTGCGCCGGCCACTGCGTCCAGGGCGAGGACATGAACAACCCCGATTACCTTCAGGTGGGTCTCGCATCCATTCCAAAAGCCTTGTTTTAGGGAAGAAAACGCATTACACATTAACTTTTCTGTTGCAAGTTCCTTTATGAATTCATTTGTATTAACAACAGGTTGTTGCTGGAGAGCACAACAGGAATGTGGATGAGGGCAATGAGCAGACGATCATCCTGTCCAAGATCATCCAACACGAGGACTACAACGGTTTCACCATCAGCAACGACATCTCCCTTCTCAAGCTGTCTCAGCCTCTGACCTTCAACGACTTCGTGGGCCCCATTGCCCTTCCCGAAGCAGGTCACGCTGCCTCTGGTGACTGCATCGTGTCCGGCTGGGGCGCTCTGTCTGAAGGAGGAAGCTCCCCCAGTGTCCTCCAGAAGGTGTCCGTTCCCATCGTGTCTGACGCCGAGTGTCGCGATGCTTATGGCCAAAACGACGTTCGATGACTCCATGATCTGTGCTGGAGTGCCCGAGGGCGGCAAGGACTCGTGCCAGGGTGACTCTGGCGGCCCCATGGTTTGCTCTGACACCGGCTCCCCCTACCTGGCCGGCATCGTGTCCTGGGGCTACGGCTGTGCCCGTCCCAACTACCCTGGCGTCTACACCGAGGTTGCTTACTTCGTTGACTGGGTCCTGGCTAATGCTGTCTAAATGATCCTCATAAATACGTGAAATAAAGATTCAAATTACGAGAAAGCATTTTATTATTTGTTTTACCTTAGAATCCCTTGAATATTACTAGCAAGACTGGTGAGAAAAATCGAATACTAGTAAATACATACAAAGGAAACCAACCCAGTCAGGATGTACTAATCACACACACTGTTCTCTCATCTAGGTGATATTCCAAAATGGGTCACAAAATTGGTTGATTGTAAATCAACCAATTCATGTCTCTGTTTGCCTATACATATATGTGTGTTGGATGTTCACGCATATAAATATATATATATATATATAAATATATATACATATTACACATATATGCATATATATATCATACATATGTTTATACTTTGATTTCTAGCACATTCACACACACTCACATTCACACTCTCACTCACGTACACACACACCTGAGGATGCAATCCAGGTGGATTCCGAAATTGTCTCACTTTCAATAAATCCAGTTTTACATTGTGGGTTTTTCTACCATAGTATCAACACGATAGTGTTTTCACTATACATATATATATGCATGAATGCATATATGTATATAAATATATATTTATATATGGTTATATGTACATATATAATATGCATATGCATATTGTATATATATACAGATATATGTATATGCATAAATTCATATATATACATCTATCTATCATTGTATGTACATTGTACATACGTATCCATATTCACATATATGTACACATAATATAGGTTTATATATTTGACTATACATATAGTATACATATATATACACATTTATATATATAGATAAGTATATATATACATTTTTATATATAGATATGTATATATATCCATACATATATATAGATATATATATATATCCATACAAATATATATATATATATATGTATATATATGCATGGGTCTCTAAGTGTTTTTATATATATGCCTATATATATATTCTTACATTTATGTGTATAGACATATATGTAAATATATCATATATATGTGCATGTGTAAAAACTTACTTACACACATCTATATTATATATATTTGTATTTTTATACATATAGACATATGTCGTATATATGATATATGTATATATTAATATAAATATATATACATACACAAGTATGTGTGTACAGATATATGTCGTATATATATTCAAACCAATATGCATGTTTATATGTATTTATTTATATATGAATACATATGTATACATATGTATGGTATATACATGTATATCTATGTGTATATATGATATAAATATACTTATATATGTGTACATATAAACATATGTATAAATGTCAATTTCAATACTATTCGATTTTGCTCACCACCCATGCTACTAATGTTCGAAGGATTAAAGGGTAGTTTAAGCAATAATATACTTTCTCACAATTTGAATCTTTATTTCACGTAATTATGAGGATCATTTAGACAGCATTAGCCAGGACCCAGTCAACGAAGTAAGCAACCTCGGTGTAGACGCCAGGGTAGTTGGGACGGGCACAGCCGTAGCCCCAGGACACGATGCCGGCCAGGTAGGGGGAGCCGGTGTCAGAGCAAGCCATGGGGCCGCCAGAGTCACCCTGGCACGAGTCCTTGCCGCCCTCGGGCACTCCAGCACAGATCATGGAGTCATCAACGTCGTTTTGGCCATAAGCATCGCGACACTCGGCGTCAGACACGATGGGAACGGACACCTTCTGGAGGACACTGGGGGAGCTTCCTCCTTCAGACAGAGCGCCCCAGCCGGACACGATGCATTCACCAGAGGCAGCGTGACCTGCTTCGGGAAGGGCAATGGGGCCCACGAAGTCGTTGAAGGTCAGAGGCTGAGACAGCTTGAGCAGGGAGATGTCGTTGCTGATGGTGAAACCGTTGTAGTCCTCGTGTTGGATGATCTTGGACAGGATGATCGTCTGCTCGTTGCCCTCATCCACATCCCTGTTGTGCTCTCCAGCAACAACCTGTTGTCAACACAAATGAATTCATAAAGGAACTTGCAACAGAAAAGTTAATGTGTAATGCGTTTTCTCCCCTAAAACAGGGCTTTTGGAATGGATGCGAGACCCACCTGAAGGTAATCGGGGTTGTTCATGTCCTCGCCCTGGACGCAATGGCCGGCGCAGATGGCCCAATTTTCGTTGTAGATGGAGGCACCGCAGAAGTGGAAGGCGAAGCCGAAGGAGACGTCCTGGAAGCTGAGCTGGTAGGGAAGCTCACCAGGAGTGACGTCAGTTCCTCCGACGATCTTGTTCAGACCGCGGCGGAAGGTGGGCTTCCTGGAGGGGGCGGCTGGGAAACGCGAAATTATCGTTAGATTTTCGTCATATATAATGCATTCAACTTGTCTGAGTTAGGATTTTGTTCTTTCATGGTAGATGGTTTGATGGTAGATGTTTGTAGGGTTTTATTACATATGATTGGAAAGGTTTTCGTACACTTTGCCAAAGACGGTTTATACGATTGACATGCACTCTTCACTTGTTATTGACAAATCATTTTCACTTTTTTCCAAAAAAGTAAAAACATGTATACCTTCGTCCCAGGCTCTTATCAAAAGGTCAGTACAACAAAGGAATGTAATCTGACTTACCAAAGGCCCCGGCGAGGAGCAGGCAGAGCACGAGGGACTTCATGACTGGTCACTGGTGAGAAACTGGAGCTCGAAGGAACTATATATAAGACCAAGACCCCAGACAGAAAAGTGTTATCTGCTCGGTCCATCTCATTCTTCTCACGCCCAGCTGCTTACTTGCCGATATGTAGCTTGGAAATCCCCTTCTAGTGGTTTATTGCTTTACGAAAGTTCTTATTTGGCCACCAAAATAAAGAAAAATATGTTTGTTTTTTTCAGAAAATTTCGAGGGCGATAATTAATATTTTCATTGTCACAGTATACAGGAAACGAGTCCTCACACCCTAGCTTCTGAAGAAAAGAATACGTTTACCATAGTGACTAGTATCATTATCACTGACTTTCACCTAAAAGAAGTAGCAAGACCCATTAAACCAAATGTCTTTATAATTATTAAAATACATATTTTTGTTAAGTACCAAAGGCTTTTCTTCAGTATTTAAATGGAAACTCTAATTGTGCTGAATGACTATATATATAGCCTAAAGCAAACGATTATTGAATGCACAGGGAACTTCATCTTTCCTTTTTATTTCTTTTATTTCTTCTTATAAAAGTACAAAAGTTTGCGCGTGTATTTGTGTAGGTTTATTCACAAGCATTTGTACCAAGTGAAAATCATTTAGCAAACTTTTGGTCTTTTTCAATTTTTCAAAGTTACAAATAAGGAGGAAGCGCTATAATTTTAATTTTAATTTGATTATGGAAGAAACTAATAGTGTTCCTCAATACGAACTTTTTTCTACTTTTCAAATCAAATTTAACATGCCATATTACAAGGACCTATATTAACTGGTCGTCATTTCCCACTGACATTCTGTTTAAAACTCCCTCTCAACTGTGAATTAAGAACAGACTGAAGTATTTGCTGTAATAAAAACAGCAGTATCTACAACAATGATTATGATAAAGATTAGAACCCATCGACAGTGACAATGATATTAGCAATAATACTAATAATTGTGATAGTAATGATAATACTAATGGAAATGATGCTTATAAATGATACTACCACTACTACTGATATTAATGATAATAGGAATAATGGTAATGATAACAATATGACTGACGATAATAATAGCAATAGTGATAATAAAAATAGAATTGTATTACTACTAATAATAATGACAATGACCTTAATAATTTATATGGAAAAAAGAGCGACAAAGTGAGGCAAGTCAGTGAGCATGTTTGAGAAAAATCCCACAGCGACGCGATAACCTGCAATGGTACTGGTTGTCGGTATAAATTGACGTCGCAGCCTTCCCTCTGCACCAGTGACCGACCATGAAGGCTGTAGTGCTGTGCCTGCTCCTCGCCGGGGCCCTCGGTAGGTCGCGTTTCCTTTGAGTTGTTTTTAGCTTGCATGTTGTAGGGAAAGGGGGATGGGGTGCCAGTCATGTTTCGAATGATTGTCCTCTGTATTTATTCCTCCCTTTGCGGAACTTGTCTGCAATATGCTGCATATATAATGGATACGTGTGCATTTGAATACATATGCACACACAAGTGAAGAATATTAACATATTAATGAATATAAGCAAGGGAATCACTAGCTTTATATAAAAGTAATGATATTCTCTGGCACTTGAAGAAAGTAACATTTCGTATGTCATTCCCCAGCCGCCCCCTCCAGGAAGCCTACCTTCCGCCGCGGTCTGAACAAGATCGTCGGAGGAACTGACGTCACTCCTGGTGAGCTTCCCTACCAGCTCAGCTTCCAGGACGTCTCCTTCGGCTTCCCCTTCCACTTCTGCGGTGCCTCCATCTACAACGAAAATTGGGCCATCTGCGCCGGCCATTGCGTCCAGGGCGAGGACATGAACAACCCCGATTACCTTCAGGTGGGTCTCGTATCCATTCCAAAAGCCCTGTTTTAGGGGAGAAAACGCATTACACATTAACTTTTCTGTTGCAAGTTCCTTTATGAATTCATTTGTGTTGACAACAGGTTGTTGCTGGAGAGCACAACAGGGATGTGGATGAGGGCAACGAGCAGACGATCATCCTGTCCAAGATCATCCAACACGAGGACTACAACGGTTTCACCATCAGCAACGACATCTCTCTGCTCAAGCTGTCTCAGCCTCTGACCTTCAACGACTACGTGGGCCCCATTGCCCTTCCCGAAGCAGGTCACGCTGCCTCTGGTGAATGCATCGTGTCCGGCTGGGGCGCTCTGTCTGAAGGAGGAAGCTCCCCCAGTGTCCTCCAGAAGGTGTCCGTTCCCATCGTGTCCTGACGCCGAGTGTCGCGATGCTTATGGCCAAAACGACGTCGATGACTCCATGATCTGTGCTGGAGTGCCCGAGGGCGGCAAGGACTCGTGCCAGGGTGACTCTGGCGGCCCCATGGCTTGCTCTGACACCGGCTCCCCCTACCTGGCCGGCATCGTGTCCTGGGGCTACGGCTGTGCCCGTCCCAACTACCCTGGCGTCTACACCGAGGTTGCTTACTTCGTTGACTGGGTCCTGGCTAATGCTGTCTAAATGATCATCATAAATACATGAAATAAAGATTCAAATTGCGAGAAAGCATTTTATTATTTCTACTACCTTAGAATCCCTTGAACTTTACTAGCAAGACTGACGTGCAAAATTGATTACTAGTAAATACATACAAAGGAAATAAACCCAGTTCTCTCATCCAGGAGGAGATGATAAATCCAAAATGTTTCACAAAATACGATCCACATGTATTGTAAATCATTCAATTCATCTCTGTTTGCCAGTCTATGTGTGAATGTTTATATACATATATATGTATATATGTGTGAGTATATATACACATTTATATGTAAATATATCATAAATATGTTTATATATAGATAGATGTGTATATGTGTGTGTGCATGTATGCTATATATTCATACATATGCATATATATGCATACATATATCTGTGTGTACATCATATACATTCACACACATATGTATATCTATATCTATATATATAATAATACACATGCATGTATCATACACAAACACACACGCATATATCGTGCACAAACACACATATATACTTGCACATATATGTATACATATATATGTGTGTGAGTGTGTATGTGTCTACAGTATATCTATATATATTCGTATGTATGTGTATATATACTTTACACACCCACACATATGTACACATATATATACGTGTATGTATATAAACATATAATTACATATATATATATATATATATATATATATATATATATATATATATATATGTACATGTTTATATGCTGTGCGTACACGCATATACATACATGTATAACATATAAATGTACATTTATGTATGTACATATACATATATATCCCTCGATGTCTAGCACATTAAACATATATGTTAGTATATATATACATATATATAGCATATATATGATGTACATATATTATATATGCATCACAGACGAGGGATCGCTTCTCCTAATGAATGAAACTGTCAAAATCAATAATAAATAGGTCACACAGGTCTGCTAATGACAGATAGTTACTGCTCCTCCCTCACCATGTCAGAAATAAGAATACAATTAAGTGTAAAGGACGTACTAGCTCACCCCATTCCCTCCCCCTCTGTGAACAATACGTAGCAAGACCGGATGGCAGATTCACACCTCGGTCCAAGCAAATGCCTTTCTCCTTGCGCAGGATGCAGGTGCTGCCCTCCTTTCTCTTTTCACACAGGAATAAACATCCGCTCTCCAAGGAAACCGCCGCATAAAAGGGCACGTGCCTAAGACACGAGAGACAGGGCAGACAGGTCAAGCCACAAGGGTTCAGCTCCACCACCTCGTCCTCCACCCGGGGACACGGGGGTCTCTTGGGGGTCTCATATCTACCTTCAGAAATAAACCAGCAAGTTAAGACCCCTTTCATTGACCGCCCCAAGACCATCTCTGTTACGCTTACATCTAGTGGCTTACGTGGTCCCTTACGCTTACACCCTCCCCCTCCCCCTCACACCGAAATATTCACCATATTTGAATTTGTAACTGAATCGATAATTAATCCTGCTACAGACGAGTGATCACCCCTCCTAATTCATCATAATCTAAAAATGTCCCTCTAATGATGACTAACACGCTCGCCTAAAGGGTGTCTCTACCCCTCTCCAAAGCAATGTCCGAGAACAGGGAACTCCTCCTTCCCTTCCTACTGCCCCCGATCCACATTCCCTCATATCCCAATACGAAGCAATAATGGTAGAGGAAGAAGACGCAAACAAACAAATAGCACAAAAGACCGATGGACGTCCTAGCTCACACCATTCCCTCCTCCTCCCTCTCACACCGCAATATTCACCATGTTTGAAATTGTAACTAAATCGATAATTAATCCTGCTACAGACGAGTGATCACCTTCCTAATTCATCATAATCCATAAATGTCCCTCTAATGATGCCTAACACGCTCACCTGAAGGGTGTCTCAACTCCTCTCCAAAACAATAATAAGAATAAGAATAAGAGGAAGAAGAAGCACACAAACCAACAAAAATGCATGCAGCTGCTGACACAAGCAAAGCCCGAGAACAGGGAACTCCTCCTTCCCTTCATGCTGCCCCCGATCCACATTCCCTCATACCCCGATACGAAGCAATAATGGTAGAGGAAGAAGACGCAAACAAACAAATAGCACAAAAGACCAATGGACGTTCTAGCTCACCCCATTCCCTCCCCCTCTGAGAACAATACGTAGCAAGACCGGATGGCAGATTCACACCTCGGTCCAAGCAAATGCCTTTCTCCTTGCGCAGGATGCAGGTGCTGCCCTCCTTTCTCTTTTCACACAGGAATAAACATCCGCTCTCCAAGGAAACCGCCGCATAAAAGGGCACGTGCCTAAGACACGAGAGACAGGGCAGACAGGTCAAGCCACAAGGGTTCAGCTCCACCACCTCGTCCTCCACCCGGGGACACGGGGGTCTCTTGGGGGTCTCATATCTACCTTCAGAAATAAACCAGCAAGTTAAGACCCCTTTCATTGACCGCCCCAAGACCATCTCTGTTACGCTTACATCTAGTGGCTTACGTGGTCCCTTACGCTTACACCCTCCCCCTCCCCCTCACACCGAAATATTCACCATATTTGAATTTGTAACTGAATCGATAATTAATCCTGCTACAGACGAGTGATCACCTTCCTAATTCATCATAATCTAAAAATGTCCCTCTAATGATGACTAACACGCTCGCCTAAAGGGTGTCTCTACCCCTCTCCAAAGCAATGTCCGAGAACAGGGAACTCCTCCTTCCCTTCCTACTGCCCCCGATCCACATTCCCTCATATCCCAATACGAAGCAATAATGGTAGAGGAAGAAGACGCAAACAAACAAATAGCACAAAAGACCGATGGACGTCCTAGCTCACCCCATTCCCTCCCCCTCTGTGACCAATACGTAGCAAGACCGGATGGCAGATTCACACCTCGGTCCAAGCAAATGCCTTTCTCCTTGCGCAGGATGCAGGTGCTGCCCTCCTTTCTCTTTTCACACAGGAATAAACATCCGCTCTCCAAGGAAACCGCCGCATAAAAGGGCACGTGCCTAAGACACGAGAGACAGGGCAGACAGGTCAAGCCACAAGGGTTCAGCTCCACCACCTCGTCCTCCACCCGGGGACACGGGGGTCTCTTGGGGGTCTCATATCTACCTTCAGAAATAAACCAGCAAGTTAAGACCCCTTTCATTGACCGCCCCAAGACCATCTCTGTTACGCTTACATCTAGTGGCTTACGTGGTCCCTTACGCTTACACCCTCCCCCTCCCCCTCACACCGAAATATTCACCATATTTGAATTTGTAACTGAATCGATAATTAATCCTGCTACAGACGAGTGATCACCTTCCTAATTCATCATAATCTAAAAATGTCCCTCTAATGATGCCTAACACGCTCACCTGAAGGGTGTCTCAACTCCTCTCCAAAACAATAATAAGAATAAGAATAAGAGGAAGAAGAAGCACACAAACCAACAAAAATGCATGCAGCTGCTGACATAGCAAAGTTCGAGAACAGGGACCCCCCCCCCCTCCCCCGATCGGCATTCCCCCATATTCCGTTACGGAGCAATAATAGTAAAAATCTTGACTCGTCGTCTACATTAAATCGCCAAAGCATCCCAATGTTAAGAATTCATTGCAATCAAAAGGATTATAAAATTCGATGCTGTACTCAATATGTCTTTAATATGACTTTCAAGCTTACACAAACACGCGTCTTAACAGGCGATAATACAAATAAAATAAAAATAACAGGCTTAAATTTTCTGTGTAAACGTAAATGCGACATCCACTATCGCATACGTTTGAAAATTTCGGGTTTATACAACAGGTTAATTACCTAACAGGTTGAAAAGTCGCCGGTTTTATTCTATTTAGAGAGCATTAATAGGGTTTTCAACGCATCTGCGCGAGACCAAAGACGGGTTTCCCCCTCCTATTTCCGCCTGAACAGCTAATTATCCACCAACTAGGACCACCACCTGTCCCCACGTGCCGACTCAGTTATGTTTTGCTAATTAACCTCAAGGGGCAATGCAATGCTTTTCCCAAAAAGTGTTCCCGCCTCAGCTCTCAATTTTTGTTCAATCTACAATGCAAACTAAGAAATATGTTCAGCTTTCCCATATGTATAACTCTATGCAGGCGGGCGTATCTTTGCACGCCAATACAGTGCATTCCCTTCTGATATAAAAAGACCAGGGTAAACGTCGATTAGGGATCCTCTGTTTTATGATGACATAAGAAAAAGATGAATCAGAACAAAAGGTGGACAGCTTTTCAGTAATTTACTCCCCCTCCACAAAATTCTCTATAGTTCCTCCTTACAAGTATATACGAAGAAAAGGAACTATGCAACAGTAACCACTAATGTTGGTTACTGTAGTTTCATTCATCTAGCAAATATGATGTTTTGTCTCCTACAAGAACGGGAAAAATATTGTAAAAGGACACAAATAACCTTGCCGAAGGGAAATAATCCAACCAAACTTTACTTCTCGATTTCCCCGTCATGATCTTTCTCACCAGTACAAACATGCTATAAGAGACTGGGGCTAGATAAGTTGCTATCTTTAAGCCGGACTACGGTGATTTTTGATTATTGTAGTTTCATTCATCTAGCAAATATGCTTTTTTTTGTCTCCTACAAGAACGGAAAAAATATTATAAAAGGACACAAATAACCATCCAACGTGTATAATTCAACCAAACTTTACTTCTCGATTTCCCCGTCATTGCATTGCCTTTCTACAAATATGCAGCAAGAGATGGAGCTAGATAAGTTGTTATCTTCAAGAGGCGATCACCTCACCGTCGGACTATGGTGATTTACTTTATCGGGAAACGCGCATTCAGCCACCGCTTTTTAAGGAACACATGCATATATTTTCTCAAATCTCCCTATACAAAGAGAGAAATATTTTTTACGTTGGCACTGAATAAAACTTGATACTCGCCCTCTTCAATATTTTCTGAATATCTTAATACAAAGTCATATCAAATGAAAAAAAAAAAATAATAATACATCTTAACATCCTTTGC